TATATTTCATTTGTCATTTCAATGTACCTGTGAAGGGAAGGAAGGTTCACTTTATTTCTAGAAATATCAATCATTGTTTACAAATCCAGGTGGAAATAAGAGGAGAAAAGATGAATGAAACTGAAAAGAACTAATCTAATCCATTGGTTAAGAATGGCGATGGGAACAGGGTGATGGTGTGTGTTCTGATCATAGATGAAATAACGCCAAGGGCTAAGCAGCAAGGTGCAGTTCAGAATGTGAAATGGCCTCTTAAGAACTAAGTCTTTTAGGAGCTGAGTGCTTGACTCAGTGGTAAGGTATTTGCCCAGCATTTTCAAGTCCTTCGTTCCATTCTCCATACTCAGCAACAAAACAAATAATAATGAAGAAGTTGGTTTCTGTCCAAACAGTAATGAGATGGCAATATGTAGTTTTGGGCAGGGGAGTAAGGAATTTTTATTTTTGTTTCTGAAATAGAATCCTACTTCATTTCAGTTAAAGTTTCTAGATTTGAGGAATTCAGGAAACCGGTCAGCAGACCACTAAATAGTTGGTAAATGACCAAGCAGAAAATAATCATCCACTTTTCATGAAATGAAAGAAAACAGCAGAAATATTAATCCATCTATTTGGCCATGCTAATTTCTAGCCAATGCTACTATGCCTCAGTGTCTATTCATATATTTTACTGTGGTTATCACAGTTCTAAAAGATCTTACAATTCCACACTATTTCCCCAAGTCCATCTTCCGTCTTGTTATTCAGTTTCATATGTTGGGACAGACACATGTGGGTCGGTCTTCTGTGGACTTGGAACCTATTTTGAATCTTTTTCCAGGACTCTGCTGTTTCTGTATGGGATAAACACTTCTCATGGGACTTTGCAATGAAATCCTGGGATTGTTCAGCTCCAGCATGGGTTCAGCTTGTGGCCTTTTAAAATCCTCTAGGAGGCATCCTGTTCCATAACTCTTCTGACATCCATCAGTTGTAGCAGACTCTATTGGTTATTTATATTGACAGGGTTCTGTTAATTTTGGAAGCACACAGTGCCCTTTACAATATGAAAGGAATCAAATATTTTGTCAAGGGAACCTGACCAGACCCTGAGGTCAGACAATGGAGATAATTAGCCCAAGACAGATAAATTAGCCTTAATTATGTGAATGTTTCAGCATCCCTGGCCAATTATTCTTATCCCATTGTTTCTGCTTATAGCTTTGGGGGCTTATATTTATTATATTAATCTATTACCCCTTTGAAAATGGCAGATTGTGTTTTTAAATCTTCCCTTAAAACAATACATCTTATTTCTTGCCTTCATAAAATAAAGTTGCATCTTCTTTGGTCATTTGTTTTTACATAATTTTAATTTTGTGACAAATAAACCAAAAAATTATTTACTTTTCCTTATATTAATATAACTTCAAAATACTTGGTCCCCCCCCAAATTGAGTTATAAAAATGTTTAGTGCACAGTTGTATGTGATGACTGAATTATAGTGGGCAGCAGCAGGAAGGGGGGCTTGAATGACATCAGTAAGCTGTCTCATTACACATGTTATCACTTGTCATGATAATGTTCAAGAGTTCAAGAAAGATGTGAATAGAGATTGTGAAACAGTCTCCAGGTGATGCTTTACCTTCAAAGATATGCTTTGACATAATTTTTCATAAACTTGAAATCACTGTTAATGAAAAATATATGCCATTCTTCTATATTAAAAAAATGATTGATTTTGATTTGTGATTTGTGATTAAAAGTATCCCCTCTTTATAAATACAGGTGTGATAAAAAAAATAGCCACTCAAGCTATAGTAGCGAATTATAATCTTCACAATCTTGTACCTTAATAATTCAATATAAATTATTGAATTTATAATATGTGTTATGAATAACTAAAATGCATTGTTCTAATTTGTTAAATCTGTATATTACTTTTTATTTTAGAAAATAAAGACACCTAGAGATATATCATTATATCTCTATATCTTTCATAATATAATTATATTTCAGTTAAAATAGAAATAATAAGTATTATCCCGGCACTTGGGAGGCAGAAGCAGGTAAATCTCTGTGGGTTTGATGCCAGCCTGGTCTGCAGAGGGAGTTCCAGGAGAGCCAGGGCTATTACACAGAGAAACGCTGGCTTGAAAAACAAAAACAAACAAACAAAAAAATATAGTAAGTGTCTACTTTAGAAACTCTCTATCCATCAATGCATCCAATTCTGCTGCTACTCAGTGCTAAGATGGTGTTAGGCTTCCCTACTATTATTTTTATATTTAACATAATTAATATTTATTTTTAACAATACTTCACTTTTACACACTTTTAGAAGATTAACTTCAAAATGATGTTTTTATTTCCCACTGAGATTTTGATTGGGAAAGTATTTAATTTAAAAGTAATTTGAAAAAATAATACATTCACACACTCCATTCTTCCCTTTGCATGACCTGGTATATATATTTTCATTGTCTTCAAATTGCTTTTGAGGTTACATGTAAGAGGACTAATTTCACTTTTAATAACTACTGTAAGCATGTCTTTTATAGATTAAAAGTAGACCCTAGCTCATTACTTTTAACAATGTTTCTTTCTCAATTCAAGTATCCACCCATGCACTTCTCAGATATTTTTGGGTAAGTCTGTTGTTTGTATTGCCACCTAGACACATAACTCTACTCTCTTATCATCTTGCTTTCTTTGAAGACAAATAAAATGGAAATTATAGCATAAAATAGTTTTGTGTCAGTTAATACACATTTTAGAACTAACTTACTTTTCTTCAGTTATTTATTTAGGCAATGATTGATGTATTTTAGTCCCCCTTTTTTCCCCTAGAGAAAGAGACACACTCTGCAGTTCAACCTGGACTGAAACTCACTTTATAGTCCATGTTTTCCTCAAACTCATGACAGTCCTTGTGACTCTGCCTCCTACCTGTTAGAATTAGAGGAGTAGGCTACCACATGTGGCTTAAAGTTGCTGGTGTTGAAAAATAATGTTGATCCAGTTCCATGGGGGCTCCTCAACTATTGGTTCACAGTTCATGTGTTTCCAGTAGTTTGGCTATTTGTCCCTGTGCTTTTTTCAATCATGGTCTCAATATCTCTTGCCGGTTGGACTCCTGGGGTTTAGCCATGAATCTTTGCATCTGCTTCCATCAGTCACTGGATGAGAGTTCTATCATGAGCCCCCATGGAACTGGACCAGGCCCTCTGGATAAGTGAGACAGTTGATTAGCTCAAACTATTTAGGAGGCTCCCAGGCAGTGGGACCAGGACCTGTCCTTAGTGCATGAGCTGGCTTTTTGGAACCTAGGGACTATGCTGAGACATTTTGCTTAGCCATGGTGTAGGGAGGAGGGGACTGGACCTGCCTCAGCTGAATTTACCAGGCTGAGCTGAATCCCCAGGGGAGACCTTGCCTTGGAGGAGGTGGGAATTGGGAGTGGATTGGGGGGGGAGGAAGCTGGGGGGGGGGAGGAGGGAGGACAGGGGAATCTATGGTTGAGATGTAAAATTAAATTAATTATAAAATAAAAAAATATAAAAAAGTTGAAAAGAAGTGATAGAAAGCAAACTTATTTTATTCTACCTTTCCATATATTTCCAATTAAGTAATAATTGAAAATTATAAAATGATATATCTGAAAACATTTCTAGTATTTTCTGTAAATATGTTACAGAAATTTTCTGCTACTTATAGTACTATTTTTTTGAATTAATAGGTCTTCATTAATTAACCAAAAATTTGATTTGATAGGTTTCACAGATAATGTTTACCTCTGCACATTTATCTAGAAAATCCATATGGATGGATGGATAGATAGATAGGTAGATAGATACACATGTTCATATGGATATATTCTTATTTTAAGTCTGAACCATTTTAAGGTAATTCCATTGGTTACAATGTACAATTCTTTTAACACATTCCTAGATTTGGCTTTTTTATTCATTAAAATACTTCATACTAACACTATTCACAAATTTCAATTCACATAAAATCAAGCAGAAGAATATATATTAGCTAAGAAAACAAGAAATCCAAACTGGGCATACTAAGAATTAAGTGCATTAAATGCTGAGGGATAGGATTAGGAACCCAGTTCATCTTTACCATCCTGACAGCAGCCCTCAAGGTGGCTTTTGGAGAATATTTTTAATAGCTGAATTCAAATTCTTTTTTTATAAAAAATCTGGAATTTACCTAAAGGCTATGTATGGTATATAGTATTTCAAATAATACACACTTATGAGTAACATTTAGAAGCATACATGTGGGCTAGTGTTTTCTAAACTGCATAATTTTCCTTTAGGTTAGGCTCAAAGAAGTTGCAGTAGATAAGAGACAGGAACAACTTAAAGCTTTGCTCTAGCATCAGTCTCCGACCCCACGGTGGAGGTGTCCATCCCACTGTCTCATTCATCATTCTCCCCCTACCATCACCACTAGTGACTGACGTCACCACATACAGAAAGAAACTATGGTCGTAAGATATGTATATGATAAATATATAATTTTCTCCAGTATGACATCAAGCTTAATGCATGCTTGACTTATCTGGTAGTTAATACATTAGTTCAGGCATGTCACTTATTTTTATTATTTAGAAATAAATCTTTTTTTTTTTTTTTTTGTGAACAGGAAGCCCTGAACTAATTTTTGGAAGAGAGGTGAAGGGAGACAAAGAATGGTAGGGGATGGCTGAGAATGACTAAGAGGAAACATAAGTTTTATTTCTAGATCTAATGTTTCTTTCATAGTATTTGACAAATGGGAAGGATTTGATATATACTGAAATTAGTTTTGGCTACATGAATTATGTTTTGTGGTCCATAACACCTTGTTAAGATTGAACCACATCATTTTTAATCAAAGCTTTTTATATTCATTCTGATTATGCCCAACAAGGCCATTTTAAAATCCAAGGTAAGTAAATTTTTGCCACAACTTTAATATTTACTCTTCACTACTCAATTCTTTCTTTTTCTTATCTATAAAATAGATCTGTAAGAAGAATACGCTCCTTGAAATTCCACATCAGGCCAGACAATGAGGAATCTGCTGAGACCCATCTGCAAATGAGCACTTGTGTTGGTGCTAGAAGGAGAGAATGTATGAGATGTCCTTAAAATGATTTGGAGTCAGACTACAGTTGTAGAAATTAGATTTTTTTTTTCTCCAAATATATTCCCCATGTCGGCCATCCTATTAGAACTTTAGTGTTCAAAGGTTGATGATGCATTGTCTCTATTTTATGTTCAGTAGTATTGCATGCTTTACTTTAATCACTAAGAACATGCCATCCTCCTGATTACTGAAATCCTGCTTTTAAGATTTAGGGAAATGATCACTCCCTTACTAGAAGAAAGGCTTGCCTTTACCAGGTATTAGCAATTGTGTTTATTATCTTGCAGCTGAGAACCTATGACTTCCAATATAACCTGGTTTAGGAGAAGTCAGCAGTATGAACAGAACCAAAGGGATAGAAAGAAATTACATCCTTGATGACATCATTAAGCCACTGAATCAAGTGCCCATGGCATCTGCATTCTGCTATTCTGCTAAACTTCCTGTTATGGGACCTATGGACTTTTATAAACAACATTTGAGCTGGAGTTTCTCTTAGTTACAGTTACAAACATCCTGTCTAATAACAACAGTTACTAGCTAAACAACACCATTCTGGTAATTATTCCAGGATTGTATCTGGAAGCCTTTATTTAACCCACTCTAGATTTATATTTTCTGCAGTACATTGATATTTTGAGTATGAAGAAAAATTTTAGTTTTCTTCTCAAACATGTTTGGTTCTGTTTTAGTAACAGAATGCTTTTGCAGATTGGCTGTAATTTTTCTGTCCTCTTTTTGTCCTCTGCTAATGTATTATGGTTTGTAAGTAAAACAATGTAAATATTTATTTGAGAAGACAGAACAGCCTCTTATATTTTAATGTCATTTGATACAATAGTCATGCTTAAAAGTGGAAATTCCTCAATTTTATACAATTTATTGACAATTTAAAAAAATTTGTTGGAAAGTCTTATTTTAATGTTTGTGGAACTGATTGCTGTTTTGGATTCACAAGGTCTGATGATTTAAGAAGATATGTTTATGTTCTTAATTTCTATGAGCACCACAAGATAATTACTGAGTATCTTAGGGTTTCTATTGATGTGACAAAACGCTATGACCAAAAGCAACTTGGAAAATAAAGGACTTATTTCACTTAAACTGCAGATAATTTACCATCACTGAGGGAAGTCAGAACAGGAAGGCAAGCAGGACATGATCCTGGAGGCAGGAGCTGATGCAAAGTCCATGGAGGAGTAGTGCTTACAGGCTTGCTCCCCATGACTTGCTCAGCCTTCATTTCTTACAGCACATGGGACCACTAGCCCAGGGGTGGCTCTGCCCACAGTGGTTGGGTCCTCCCACACCAATCAGCACTCAAGAAAATTCCCTATAGACTTCCCAAAGGCCAATCCTACACAAACATTATATCCATTAGGATTGCTTCTTCCAAGATGACCCTACCTTTTGTCAAGCTGACATGAAAACTAGCCAGCACCGTGAGCTAAAATTTTACAGAACTCTCAATATTCTCAACTTAATTTTACTTAAGAATATTAAATGATGAACCATGACAAAAAGTCAACTTAATAAGTCACCAATAAGTTGTCACAAAGTGTATTGTACTTTCCCTTTTTTGAAATAAAATTCAAAATTACAAAATACACGAGTCTGAAAAGATTATGCAACAGATCACCATTGTAAGAGCCAAATGAAATTTGCAAATGCATAAAAACAAATGTTACTCTGCTTTTCATAATCTTGTATTTCTAGCCAAGTGTCCACCTTGCCACTAATTTGACAGCAATTTATTCATTCACGAAGGCAAATGGGCCAGAGAAAAGGCAGGGCTGTATTAAATTAGAACGATGTTTAGACAGAATGTACTTAGTAAGGTTACCTTATAGTCAAATTGGATTTTAGCTGAATAATCTCAAGTCATAATTTCTGCTTGGGGGAAATAAACAGTAAAGAGATTGTTTTCATACACTTGAAGGTCAACTACAAGGAAAATGAAAGATGTTCATCACACACTAATGTGACAATCATACTTTTTGTATTTCTCATGATAATACAGTGAACAGTAAAAGTTGAGCCTTTTAACTGGGGGGGGATAGACTAATTAGAACTAAATGGTAGATTAAAAAAACAAACACTTTTTGTGAGTGTTCAACATTTTCACAAAGTATTTTATTTTTATTTTTTAAGATATGCTGATGGCCACTTGTTTCAAGTATGTGAGTCATGGCCATTCCTTATTTTTTTACATTTATTGTTGTAAGTAGAGCATAGTGACTACTAAGCATTTTGTATATTTGGATATGTCTATGCACAAAAAATATATTATTTGTATATTTTGACCCATATCTTTTCTGCTTATATCTACTATTGATGCTATTCACAATGCAATATTTTGCCCTGGAATTTTTTGTATTTATAATTTGATGATAAAGAAAGCAAAGGACTCAGTAACATGGCCACAGCCAAACTATCCACACATGTTTTGGCATAGATTTAAAGAGTTTGGCAATATGTTTAAATACTAAATGTTACATACAACCCAGTTTTAGTCTGTTTCCAAAAGTACACAATTTTATATATAAAAGAAACATTTAGATTGAGTTTATTGGATTCTAAAATAATTTACATACTCCATGATCACTAGGAATGATTTTCTTCCCAGCTAACAATTAATCTCAGGGTATTACTGCTGATCTCGACATTTGCATAACATGTGCGACAGTGTATGTAGCCTGGTTTTTCCTCAAATGTGAGCTCAAATGTGACCCAAGAGTTGAATTTAAATTAGTGGGATTCATGGTTTTGTTTTAGTGCCTGACAATGATTTGGTTTAAATAGTCTTTAAGGAAGGAGCTGATGCTTCTTCAGATATAATCCAAATGTTTTGACCTTGCTATCATTGCAAAAGCCTACAAAATGCAAGGAGAATTTAGTCCTCAATTTTCTGATTCATTTACTCATCAAACTATCTTATTAGAGCCACTACATATTCAGGAAAATTCTTCACAAATTATTTCCAGCATATTTTAGAGTCCCGAGGAGCTGACACTTGCTAACCCAACCTGAATCCCTGTCGAGTCTTCTCAATGAAATACAGAACTCATGCTGTGTGTATGTTACAACAATTAATGAAGAATTGAGCCTGGAAATCCTTCCCCAAGTATTTATTGCAAAACAACTAAGCTAATTTTATTTCAGCTATTCTCTCTTTATATTTAACCACTTACATATTTAAAGCAACAATATTAATTCTCTTGTCATTCTTGGGATCCTGTCTAACATTTATTTGAATTTTATGACTAAAAAAATGCTATCTTTAATTTTCAATATACTCTGAATTTCTTAATATTCTTTTTTATTGGTCAAATTACCTATTTTCTTTATAAAACAGTATAGCTCTAATCTTTGTTTGTTTGTTTTTTAATTTTGGCCCCTATTTAAACAATATAAATGAATATCACAGTTTGGTTTAAAAAAAATCCAAAATCATTACTCTCTACACAAAGGAATCTGAATTAAGTTATGCCGGGGGGAAATAAAGGTCAATTGACAACATGTTCAATCCAAATTGAAAATCATATAATGAAAATAAATGAAAGAAAATAAAAAACATATCCTGGGTCATTGGACTAAAATGACCTGGAAGGGGTATGGGGTATATATAAAGAATATGCCTGTGGAGAATCAAAACCATAATTTTATGAACTGGAAATCTATATGTTTTTTATGTAAATTTGTTTTAGAGAAGATGAGAAAAGGAATGGGATGAGGCAACTACAATTTACCAGGGCATTATGGGGGAGTTAGGTGATAGATTTCCCCAAATTGATTGCAAACAGATCCTATACACTATGGCTGGTAGTGAATAATAATGATAGAAAATGGATTTCTCAAACAGTTTTTAAGAAGAAAGATTGTGAAATGTAGAGAAAGACAGATATTGAGATGCTTTGGGTGATTGTTGGGGTAGTATTGTTTTTAATCATGTGCCACAAGCATGCTTCAGGGGCTGTAATATGATGGATTTCCACAGAGATCCCAGTATGAGATTCATTTCTCAGTGAGACAATGAGTTCAGTTTCTGTGCTATATGCACCCTTCTCTTTTCTACCCTTGCCCCATTGAATCGACACCAAGATACATAAGACATACCTGTATCCTAAGTGTAAAATTTGATGAGTTTGACAAATGTATACTTCTGATTAACAAGCACCCTCATCCAAAACTATATTCTTACCATTCTTTAATGTTCTTTCCTTCTCACTTGCCATCACTTCTTTCATTGTTTTCCTTACCAAATCTAATATTCTAATTTGTACATTTCTGCAAGTTTGTTGTCGTTTTCTGAACTGCATCTAAGCTGAACTGTGTCATATATTGTGTCTTTTTTTTTTGTCATCATGGAGTTACTGGATTCATTCATGTACATCAGTGGCTCATGCGTTTTATTACTGCATAGTGTCCCTAAATTTGACTATAGAGATTAGATTATGCACTCTCCTCTTATCAACATGTCTTTGTGCATCTTTCCTGAGAAGAAAACCAAATTTCTGTAGCATATTAATGTTCTCAAAGACTGTCATGCATACTTGCCTACAACTGGTAGCATCACATTTTACTTAATCAGTATCTTCCAAATTCTCATTAAAAGAATTTCTGTTGTACTTACTAGGACTTTATGGAAAGTGCCTGCCCATCTTCAGTTCACAAGTCAAATTTAAGCACAGAGCTGTTCTTGTGTATGTGAATACACAGCTGAAGGAGCTGTCTCACAAATCACAGAGTTCTATCATCTGATAGCATGTTTTTCCATTTCATGGTTCAATTTATTTGCAGAAGCAGTTATTTCAGTTACAATTGTAATTAAATAATATTTTTGGAAATGGAAAAAAAACCCCTGTATTTACCATTAACAAATATATTTTAAATCAGTGTTAATATTTCTGTTTTCATTTGGGATATACAAATGTCTACCTTGACAGACATGCATTTAAATCAAAACTAAATACTCACCCTCTCTTAATGACCCACCTTTTCACAGCTAAGATCCTTGAAATAATTCGTCATGTCTGGCCTTCATTTCTTTTCTGCAAATTCGGATGAGAAATGTGGATGCATGCCTCTCATTTCTTCCCTGCCCAGGACAGTTTCAAGTAAAATGCCATCAGTGACCAACTTGCCAAATTCTATCAGTTGTCCTTTCAAACATCCCCTGTCACTGTGCCTTCCTTACATTTGACACTGCTGTTTTTATTATTTCTTTCTCCTTAAAAGATATCTTCTTTGGCGTCTGTGAAATCACTAACAGGATATCAGAATACACCATTTCATGGAATGATCTCAGGATGTGTTTGTCCATAATATGAACTCAGACAGTGACTGTAGAAAGTTATTAATTATTTTTCATATTGTATTAGCTCATAGTTTTCAAATATAATATGACATATTTACAAATGTAAGCATATAATAAAATTCATGCATGATAATGCACAAGAGGTAATTTTATAATTTCAAGATGCTTTATGTTGTTTTTCTCCTAAGCAAATAATCTCCATAGACCAATAGCATCTCAATTATATACAACATAATTATGTCCTACATATTCTACTTAAGAATCAGATTTTGGGAATGATGTTTTGCTTAGCTTATGTTTTAAATTATTTTTTTTTTTTCATTTTGAAAGATTACCAATTCTTATGTTTGGAGAAGCAATTGTCAACACTTTATACTTAACCCTTGATTATTTGGAAGGTTTTGATTTTTCTAAAAATATGTAGCCTTATTCCAACTGCAACTTCATGCAGGGCTTCCTTTTTTCGATGTTATTTCATTAGTAGAAGGTTTGCATTGCCACTCTAATGAATCCAATTGTTTCTGGGATTTACCTGTTCCAAACTCGGTGTGGTTTGGTTTTGGTTTCCTTCCTATTCTGTTTACATCCCTCAACTAATTAAATTTGTATTAGAAAATACTATCAACTCTACATCTTATTCTTCTAACTCTTCAGATTTATTTATTTTATTGTTTTGCTTGCATATATATCTATGTACTATGTTCATGTCTGGGGGCCCATGGAGGCTAGAAGAGGGAGTTGGAGCTCCTGAATCTAGAGTTATTGATGGTTGTAGGTGCTAGGAATCAAGTACAGGTCGTCTGTATGAGCAACAAATGTTACTGATTACACAGCCATCTCTCCAGCACAAATCCATATTAGCTATATAAGCAGAGAAAGTTGGCCCATGAATGCTGGTGAATGTGACCAACCTCCAGTAGGATCCTGAGTAAGATGTGGAAAAAACAGCCTTGTGTATTAGCTGGTAGTTCTTTAATCAAAACAAGAAGTAGTGAGTTACATTTTCTTCCTCCTGCTTTCTAGCATGTAAAACCTAAAAATAAAAAATAAATAAATAAATAAACTGCCACCAACAACAAAAAACCCCCAAATTTCTAGTTATGTAAAACCTGAAATTCCAGCTTCAAAAAAACCCTTTATTATTTTTTTTCCTTTGTTCGAGCCCCAGCACAATAGTAAGGGACACAAAGGA